AGCGGGGGTTGGACCAGCGGATCTCCAGAGGCGCCTTCCAACCTCAACCACTCTGTGGTTCCGTGAGTGCTCAGGAGCTGTCGGGACAGAGGCATTTGTGCCACAGCAGTGGAGTCACAGACTGGCTGAGGTTGGAAGGGACCTCTGGAGGTCCCCTGGGCCAACCCCCGCTCAAGCAGGGGTAGCGTGAAGGGACGGGGCAGAGTCAAGAGCAGGTGGGTTTTCATGGCCAAATGCAACGCTGCCCCGGGGGCTTTCTTGCTTTCGTTCTGCCCTGTCCCTGCCGTGACTCTCTTCTCCGCAGGTTTATGCTGCCGAGGCTTCCTGCCTCGAGGGAGAAGGGAGTCCCTGTGTTAAGCAGGTCCTGCTCCTGCAGTCCTCAAGCATCCCCTTCTCCTTCCCCAAACCAGGGCATGGCAGAAGGCGGAACTGAGTCTCCTCGTCCCAGTCGGGTGGTATAAACTCAGGGCTCTCCTTCCCATATCTCTGTCCTCTCACGTAGGGCTTGGTGACATCCCAGCTGAAGGCCATGCATGGGTTTCAGGGAGTCATGCTTTGAAGGGGTTCCCCAAAACTCACAGTCATTCCACTTCTGTTTCAGATGAGTTCAACCGAGTAATCATTCCAGTGAAGAGAGGTGAAGAGAACACAGACTACGTAAACGCTTCCTTCATTGACGTGAGTCTTCTCTAATCTCCTTTCCACCTTCTCCCAGTGGAACCCCTTTACCTCACGCTACTTCCTAGGGAAAGGGTCTGTCCCAAACCAGTCCTGCTCTGGGTTTTGTGAGGCTCCCTCCGCTCGGCTTTGCTTTGTGTCGCCGGATGGTGCTGGTTTCCTTCTCCGAGAAACCCCTCCGTATAGACGGTTGCCTTGTGACCCACGGAGGGTGGGGCAGGAGAGCTGGAGCTTGAGCAGAGCCTCCAAATCCTGGTCTCACTTGGGCAACTGTGAGCGCTGAGGATGGCTTTGGAGAAGCGGATGCAGGTAGCCATGGAAACGGTTGCTCTGCGGCGCTGCTCATTTGGTCAGAAAACATCCCCTCGATTAGGTGATGGAGCAATACACAGATCCCAAAACCCTTGAGAAAAACCAGGTCAATCCCATTATACCTGTCTGGGTGACGGGAGGAGGCGAGGCAGAGAGGTTAAGTGCTTTCCTCACTCCGAGGAGGAGGTAAGTGATTGCACATCCTTTTCTCGTGAGTAATCCTGTTGACTTCAGGGGGACATCTCCTATGAGTATTTGTCTTCGTGCAGTGATGCCAGCGCTGGCTAAGTGACAGAGCGCTGCTCTTTTCCAGCCCAATTTCTATTTTCATCTCCTAATAGCAGAGGGTGGGGTTTTTTCCCCCAGAGGATGATTACTGCCGTGGGTTGAACCAGTAAAACCAGCATATTCCCAGTTAGAACATCAATTGCTCCCTGAAATCTCCTTCGCTGGGTCCCCGCGGGTTGCTGGGGCTCCGTGAGCATCCAGCACAGGCGCCTCGGTTCTGCCTCGAGATCAGAAAGCCGAGGGGGCACGTAAGCCATTTTCGTGGAGGATTCAATTTCCTGCCTCTGCTGAACTTTGCCGAAATGACCAGCTCCAAATGACGAAGCGTCTTGAGTCACAGCCTGCAGCGAGGGCACGGCGGGGGCGGGGGGGGGTTGGAAACAGAAGGGCTTTGTGGTTGTGGAAGAGCCGGAGTCAACCAGACTTAACGACTGGTTTTCATAGATCCTAGAATGGTTTGGGTCGGAAGGGACCTCAAAGATCATCCAGTTCCATCCAGTTTTTCTTACATCTTCCAAAAATCCCCGGGGAAGAATCATACCTGAAGTACCTGGAGTTTAGGCAAGGCTCTGCTGCAGCCCTCAGGCTTTGCAACGTCGCTGAGGAGCGCTGCAAACCCGAGTCTTTCTCCACGAAGTGGATAAGGCCGTGGCTGCCTGGGGGGTATGGTCCTCCTCGAGCTGCGTTTCTCCAAAAACCAAGGTCTTACCGCGGCAAAGCGCCGGCTGGTGGCACCTCAGCTGCCGAGCAGCGGCGTGGTAGTGCCGTAGCCCGCCCTGAGAGCAGGTTTCTCCACCCAGGCCGTGGTCATTCACACGGACAGCCGTGGTGCTCCCAAAATTTCATGGAGCTTGGTAACCCGACCGTATTCCCGAGCGTTCCTTCCGCTGCTCCCAGCATCCAGGCGCTGCCGGTTCGCTGCTGACCCTGCCTTCACGTTGCAGGGTTATCGCCAGAAGGACTCCTACATCGCCAGCCAAGGGCCGCTGCAGCACACGATAGAGGACTTCTGGAGGATGATCTGGGAGTGGAAATCCTGCTCCATAGTGATGCTAACGGAGCTGGAGGAGAGAGGCCAGGTAAGCACCCCAGGATACCCGCCAAATGAATCAGTGCGACCCCTTAAAACCTCCTGATGGCCCCAGCGCCGCCCGTGCCGCAGGCGTTGGGTGCTGTTTCACCCCTTCTCTGGCAGGAGATATATTTCAGCCTCTACTTCTCACGCAAAGAACCCAGTTGTTTTGCAGACCCAGGGTGGGGAGAGGTTCACTAAACCAACTCTGGACCTTCTGTTCTCAAACCACCTCTGGGCGCAGCGGGCAGCTCCTCTCCGAAGCAAGGCCGTGGGGTCCCGCCTGGTTTTTGGGCAGCTGCCAGCCCCAGGAGATGACGTCTTCTATTCCAGCCCGTGGGAAAAAATAGGGGGTCTTCACCCTGTCTCCTCTTGTAACGCTTTCTCAGGAGAAGTGTGCCCAGTACTGGCCGTCCGACGGCTCCGTGTCCTACGGAGACATCACCGTGGAGCTGAAAAAAGAGGAGGAGTGCGAGAGCTATACGGTGCGGGACCTGCTGGTAACAAACACCAGGGTAAGGGTCTGGCCTTTTGCCTCGGGGGAGCTCTGGGCCCTCTGGGGTTTTGCTGTCACTAAGCCTCGCCGATGTTGACGGCGCTTTGCGGTTCCTCCTGCTGGCGTCTTCAGCGCCATCGTCTTCCCGTCATCCCAAAGCAGCGTCCATCCCCTGCAGTCCCACCTTGGTCCCCTGAGGGTTCCTGCCCTGCTGATCGCTCCTCACCAGCCCCTCTTCCCCGCTGCCCCCCAGCAGCCCTCGTCCTTCTTCTGCCTCGTCCCCCCCCCGCCCCAGGCTCCCTCCCGCTCCCCCTTCCCTGCTCCGTGCCGCGGGAATGCCTCCCCTCCACAAGCGGGCAGCTTTCCTAAGCGGTTGGTTTTCCCCAAACCCTGATGGGTCTTTCCCACCAACTCGCTGACCTTGAGCTTGTGCCCTTCCGCCAGGAAAACAAGAGCCGACAGATTCGGCAGTTTCATTTCCACGGCTGGCCCGAAGTGGGGATTCCCGGGGACGGGAAGGGGATGATCAACATCATCGCGGCGGTGCAGAAGCAGCAGCAACAGTCTGGCAACCACCCCATCACTGTGCACTGCAGGTAAAGCCCGGGTGGAGCAGGGCTTGACCACCCCCTCCCAGGGGACCTGCTCTACAAGAAGCTTGGGAGATGGTCAAAGGGCCTTCGGAAGACCTGGGCTGAGGCGGAGCAGCCCGGGCAGACGTGGTACAGGGTTTTCCTGCTTGAGTAAGCAAAGAAGCTTCGGTGTAGACCGTGTCCTAGCTAAACTGGGAGAGGCTGGGGCAGGACCCTTGGCTTCTCCAGTGGTTCCCCCTGTGGATTGTCCCCTGAGCAAAGCCAACCCCTGCTGGTGACCCCATGGGGGGGCTCACGCTGGAGCGGGCGGTTCCTGAAGGACGGCACCCCATGGAGGAGACCCACGCTGGGGCAGTTCGTGAAGGACTGAACCCGTGGGAAGACTCACGCTGGAGAAGTCACGGAGGACTTCCTCCCTTGGAGGGGACCCCCCCTTGGAGCAGGGAAAGCGTGTGAGGAGCCCTCCCCCGGAGGAGAAAGGAGTAGCAGGAACAACAGTGTGATGAACTGACCCCAACCCCCATTCCCTGTCCCCCTGTGCCGCTGGGGGGAGGAGGGAGACAAATTGGGAACAAAGTTAAGCCCGGGAAAGGAGGAAGGGGTGGGGGGAAGGTGTTTTAAGGTTCGGTTTTATTTCTCACTACTCCTCTCTGAGTTAATGGGTAATAAATTACATTTCCCTTCAGCCGAGTCTGTTTTGCCCGTGACGGTAAATGCTGAGTGATCTCCCTGTCCTGATCTCAACTCCACAAGCCTGTTGTTATATTTTTTTTCTCTCCTCTCTCCTGTCCAGTTAAGGAGGGACAGAGCGGCTTTGGTGGGCACCTGGCATTTTGGCCGGGGTCAACCCACCACACCCGGTCAGGACGGACGTTTTCCTTTACCTTCTGGTTTCTCTTTGCCAGTGCTGGAGCAGGAAGAACGGGCACCTTCTGTGCGCTGAGCACCGTCCTGGAAAGGGTGAAGGCAGAAGGGATTCTCGACGTCTTTCAGACGGTGAAGAGCTTAAGACTACAGAGGCCGCATATGGTGCAGACACTGGTAAGCGCAGCTGAGCGCGCCCCGCGCTCCTCCTGCCACCCCAGACCTCGGCAAGAATGGGCTGGGGACTCAACATTGAGCAAAAACTTCCTCTCTTGAAGGTTTTCTCTCTCCGTGAGAGATTAAGGGATGGAGGTGGGTCAGGAGGTGTCT